ACCCATAGGTCGTCACTGACATCCTTGGTCCAGACTACATCACTCGCATGCCCGAGATCCAGAAGACTATCTACTACCTCACTGGCGAGTCGTTATCGTCCGTCAAGGAGTCCCCCTTCCTTGAAGTCCTCAAGAAGAAGGGATTCGAGGTCCTCTTGCTCGTCGATCCCATCGATGAGTACGCCATCACTCAATTGAAGGAGTTCGATGGCAAGAAGTTGGTCTGTGTGTCGAAGGAGGGCTTGGAGCTCGAGGAGACTGAGGACGAGAAGAAGTCCCGTGAGGAGGAGGAGAAGCAATTCAACGACCTCTGCAGTGCTGTCAAGGAGGCTCTTGGCGACAAGGTTGAGAAGGTCGTCATCTCGAACCGTATCGCAGATTCCCCTTGCGTCCTCGTCACTGGTCAATTCGGGTGGTCGGCGAACATGGTGAGTGATAGCTCCTCATCGTCTGTGACGTTCGAGAGGATTGACATACGTCGCAGGAACGTATCATGAAAGCGCAAGCACTCCGCGACTCCTCGATGTCGTCCTACATGGCGTCGAAGAAGACCCTTGAGCTCAACCCCAAGAACCCCGTTATCAAGGAGTTGAAGAAGAAGGTCGCCGAAGACAGGGCCGACAAGTCTGTCCGAGACTTGACCTTCCTATTGTTCGAGACCGCCCTTCTGACATCAGGATTCACCCTGGATGATCCTACCTCCTTCGCCAAACGCATCCACCGAATGATTGCGTGAGTCTAACCATTCGTTATTTCTATTTCGGGACGTCTCTGATCACATCGTACAGACTTGGCTTGGATGTTGACGAGGATGAGGAGGCGGAACCCGTGGCGAGCGCCGTTGAGGACGACGCACCCCCACCACTGGAGGGTGCCTCGACGTCGGCGATGGAGGAGATCGATTAGATGTATTGCATGATTAGAAGTTTTTCTCGTCTTCCTTGTATTTTTGTCCCCCTGCTTTGGTGTCACCTCGGCTTTCATTGCGCATTTACCATCAGTCATATTGTCTAGTTTGCATTAATCCAAATGACCATGAATCATCCAGACAGTTTGTTGACTCCGTTACCTCTGAGTTGATCGTTGATCCCGGAAGCGAAGTGGTTGGAGGCCGGGCCCAATGCGCCGCGTCAGGCTTCGATTGTAGCTCGGGTTTCGTTTGACAGTCAATGAATGACACCGGGGTGATGAGTTCGCAGGGGCTTCCCCTCTGAATGGATTTGCTTGATGGACGGACACTCGAGGTGTTGGAATTATGAATTGCACAATGGATCCATGCTCTATTGGCTTCTGTTGGTGTGAGTGCCAGTGTGCTTCCTGAAACATCAACATCGGCTAGCCTCGGGGGAAATCAGGCTGCAGTTGCTGTCGCGAGCGTTGGTGCCGTACAGGAAATGACTAGCGATCCATTGTGCTCCCCAAGTGGTCTCACACTTTTGTCGGGTGTTTCTCATGGGGCAGAGGCCTTCGCAACCCTTCACGTCCGAGTCAGCCAGTCTTTTGTTTCGTAAAGGGCGGGGCCGACCAGCGGAGAATGGAGGGACAATGGTTGCCAGCACGATTCGCGACGAATTGGGCCAGAGACACGTAGCCTCGTTGCGCCGGCGATGGCCTTGGCCAGAATTACCATAAGCGGATTCCTCCGATGCTGCTCTCTGCACTGTTCCTTCACGTCTCCATTGTTCCTTTATCTCGGCCTCCAGCGCTCGCTGGACAATGCTTTCTCCTTCTCCCCTATAGCACACAATAATAAAGATCTGCCGCTTCCATAGTACTTGTATCATTATTCGCCCCATACGACGCTCAAACGACTTCGAACGCGATGCCTGCCATTGTCTCCCCCAAACCACGTTATCCCATCTCCTGCCTCATCGACACACCCTCCATGCCATTCTTACATCCTTCATCGATGTGCTGGTCATCCGACTCAGCTATGGTACGCGCGATCTACCCTTTGTCTAGTTCTTTCATCCCAACTTACTTTCCTTCAGATCCCCTTCCAAACTGCTACTCCAGTAGGAGGGTCTCGCCTCATGTCACCCATTCATCTCTCTGATTCTGCTGCACGCAAATCATCTGTACGTTGCGGATCCTCTTTTCTTCACGCCACCCTCTAACTCTCTATGTCCAGATGTCTAAGCCCCCTCTGCCATGCACCCCTACGAAGCGGCGTCGGCGCCTTCCTATCCATCGACATCGTTCTCCACGTCGCCGTCATTGTCCCAGACAGGACTGCCCATTCCCCTCTCGGGGTGCATCTGCCTTCGATCGACTTCCATGGATATCACGCATGGAAGTCTCGCCCAGTTTCTCCAATGTTTGGGACCTAGCGGACCTTTCGCAGTTGACTGCAGACCAGCCAATTAGCTCATCGCTCTCTGGCGTTGGCCCTATTCGCTCCCGCAAGGTGTCTTCGCGGTCGCACTCATTGCCATTTACCAGAGATGATCCTACCATCCCGTGCGATCCCCTCCCTTCGTTCGACTCCGCCATCGTCGATCTTAAGTCTTGCCCTCGAACCCCCTCTCCGAGACCCCTCACACCTTCCCAAGTCCGTTTCCAAAATCTCATGCCCATCCTGCTCGTCGAGCTGGGCCAATAATATGGAGCTGTGGTGTGACGGTTTCGTGGACACGACGAGACCCACTCCCCGAATCCGAACGACCTCCTCTCATCAAGCACCTTTCGCCATTTCCATCGATTTCAAGCAATCTACCACGCGCATCTCATGACATACTGCATCTTCGAATCAACGCATCTGCATCAATATATCTATCAGCTAATTACTCAACCTCTCTGCCGACGCTTTGTCGCCATCGCTGCATTTTCCCTTCACTCGCATCCAGCAATTCATCTGCATGATTTATTTTCTTATTATTCAGTTGGACTATAAAACGCTTCAATCAGGGCTTTGTTTTTCCCTTCCGTGTTCCTATGTGTTATCGTGCTTCTCTCGTCTTCCTTGTCTTCATCACTTTGCTTTGATGTATGGTTCAATGTCGCACCAGTTTACGTTTTTCTCATCTATCGCCTTCTGTCCGTTCGTCGGCATTGTTTAAATCTCAGCACTCCACTGCACTCGATAGCTTTGTCTCTCCTCTTTGCCATTCCCAAGCAGGGAATATGTTGTTTTATTATCCGACTGCAGTCAATGATGAAGATATGTTATCTGCCTATCGTACGTCCCCGTACGGTCTCCTTGATCACTTGACCCTCAAGACGGGGTGAACGGAACGATGATATGGCTTCTTCGTTCGGATAGTCACCCGGTATGACCATCCTCGATTAGCTGTCTATTCTTGCTGCTGCTAGATACCCCCATAAATATGGCCCTTGGAGCCATGCCCAATGGCTCACCCACTGGCTAGCTGCACTAACGCGACGCGCAGATTATCTGTACTGGTAAGTCTCCAAGAACCCATAAATGGAAATTCGCTGAGGTGCTTGTCGAGTCAGTGCTGAGTATAAGAGAACTTCAGAACACCTCATACCGTCACCTCCTTTTTCCTCTCCCACCACGACGACATGGCCAGCCAGCGAGTCATGAATTTCGGCGCAGGCCCCTCTGCCCTGCCTACAGCCGTCCTTGAAAAGGCCACCGAAGGTCTTTTCAACTTCGCGGGGACTGGGATCGGCATCGCTGAAATATCTCATCGGTCTACTCAGTTTCGAGCATACATCGCGAAAGTTGCAGATTCTATTCGCACAGAACTCCAGGTCCCCTCGACCCACCAGATTCTATTCATGCAAGGTGGTGGTACAGGCCAGTTTGCAACAGTAGTGCTGAATATGTTGGCGAGGCATCGGTTGCTCTACCCCGATCTGCCCGAGGAGGAACGTACATTGGATTATTGCGTCACAGGCCAGTGGAGTAAGAAGGCTATGGAGGAGGCACAGCGGTTGGGAGGAGCAAAAGTCAATGTAGCGGTCAATGGCAAGGAGCATTCTGCAGACGGGAAATCTTTCGATAGTATCCCTCCCCATGATACCTTCAAGTTCTCGGCCAACCCTGCCCTCATTTACTATTGCGAGAATGAGACCGTCGACGGCGTTCAATATTCGCACGAAAGCGACTCACCAGCCTCGTTCCCATTCCATCTGCTGAAGCAGGACACCCTCCTTCCGCTCGTCGCAGACTACTCCTCTTCTTTCATGTCGAGACCCATCAATCGTATCGCCGATCACGCCATCGTCTTCGCCGGTGCCCAAAAAAATCTTGGCCCCGCTGGGCTTACCGTTGTCATTGTCCGACAGGACTGCATCGTCGACGTCGACGCCGCCGCCAAACTCGGCGCCATGCCAGTCCCAATCATAATGGCGTACAAGACCATCTGCGAGTTTGACAGCTTGTACAACACGCCATCCGTCCTTGCCATCTACGTTGCTGGCTTGGTACTGGATAGGATGAAGGAGAAGGGAGGGATTAAATTTTATGAGGCTGGCAACAAACGGAAGTCTGAGAAGCTTTATGCCGCTTTGCAGGAGGGGGTTGACAAGGGCGTCATCAAGGCACGGGTCAAGGAAGGATCTCGAAGTTGGATGAACATTACATTTGACGTTCTCACTGAAGGTGGTGAAGCTCGTTACCTGGAGGGAGGCATAAAGAGAGGCATGAAAGGAATGGATGGTCATCGGTGTGTTGATCGTCCTTCTGTATGTTATCACATTCTGACAGGGCCCTCGCCTCTGCAGTTCCGTTGGAGGTTGGCCTGCAATTTTCGCTGCATCACCCAAATCTCTTCTGATATTCTTGATTTCTAGGGATTCGTGTGTCGCTTTACAACGCTATTACCGAGGAAGAAACAGACAAGTTGGTGGAATACATCAAAGAGTTCGTTGCGGCTGAAAGTGCAGCAAAATAGAACAAAATGGTTAGATAAATGCTGGCAGTTATGTTGGTGTACGAATCATGATTTTCATCGAATGGATGGAAAACCTAGGTTTGGTGGAAGCCTAGGGTGGGTGCTGGTCTTGATGTCCACATTGGCATGATTTGCCAGGTCACTTTGCCGGAGTGGTTAACGGGATCGCCTGCTACTTACAGTGGCCTTCAGCGGTTGGGCTTTGCCCGCGTGTGTTCGAATCGCACAGGTGACGATTTTTGGTACGCATCCTTCGGAGTGTATATTCAAGGTCATTGGATGGGGTATGGATGTAGGTCCTTTTTGGGTCCGATATTCCACCTGGCAGACGTCTGTAAATTCCCATCCGTTGTGCTCACCGCGACACAGGCATATCACTGGAGTCGTTTGGGAGACTGCCCATGCATCATCACACAATACAGGAGATCATTGCACACTTTTTTCTTGTATAGAATTTGGGGAGAAGGTAGTCCGGGATTGAAACAACATGGGAGGGGCAACATTGAATGTTGTGTCGGTCGAGTGATGAGTACTATTGTTTTATCGACTAACACCTGCCCCATGGCTGAGTTGGTTACAGCGTCCGACTGTTAACTTGCAGTTGCATCGGAAGGTCGTGAGTTCGACCCTCACTGGGGCAGAATGTTTTGCCATCATTCAGCATTGAAGCCCAAACAGATAACTGAAGTATGTGACCATACTATCGTGGACCCACTTGTGAACCACGCGCGACATGTGAACCATCGACTTGTAGCCCGCTCCCGTCCTCGGGAGGTCTTCCGAAAATTCACAGAGATGCTTAAATACACAAAGAATATGTTCCCGAAGTCTGTTTGTTACGGGCAGTGTGGTTGTAGAATGGGAGACGGAAAAGCGTAAAAATGGGGAGCTGTGGCTGAAGACCCATCAGATCCCATAGATCTTGAACCTCCGCTGTCTCCCGCTTTCAGGATTCAGGCACATACCCAAAATCAATGTTCCAGACTATTTCCCCGACGACTTTTAACAAGTGGAAGGTGTGGATTCAGATACCCTCCACAATGCCCTGCCAATTCTGCGTGACATTTCGTGACGATTTGCCCGCCATGGTCACTCGCGGCGGAATGGTTCACAACTCGCGTCCAGCCACATTTCGTGGTCGTCGTCTCGGTCGATGCCCGACGCTTGCTGTCGCTCATCATAAAACCGGAAAAACCAGATTGTATTAGATCAGAGGTTCTTCCGTTCGCTCAAAAATTCCCATAGGAACTGTCGTATTTTCTATGGCTCTACATGCCGACTGGTGGAACGTGATTCACAGCTCCATGTTGTAACAATGGCTGTGTAAGAGCGACTGGTAGCGCCTCGATGGTACGTACTCCTGGCAGGCCTTATGGTCGTCGGATGGCTTGTTCATAGGCACAAAAAAGTTAATCGAGTCTGGAGAAGACAATATGAGACTCAGCGTACTTCTTGACATGCCCTTTTGCAAGTAGTTGTCTGATTTGACATTGATCGACTTCAGAGTTACTGGGAGTAAAATACGCTGCCCCAGTGAGGCTCGAACTCACGACCTTCCGATGCAACTGCATGTTAACAGTCGGACGCTGTGACCAACTCAGCCATGGGGCATGTGTTAATGACATTTTTTTGCCATAATCGTTACATCGCTTTTTGTTCATTAAAAGTATGGCAACTTGTCACTATCAGCCGCCTCTCAGGACTCTTACCTGCTCTTACCATGGTGAAGAAAGCACGAGGTCCACAAGCCAGTGCAAGGCCTGCCACGCAAGCACCCTCTTTTCCCGATATCTATCCCAAGTCTCACCTGGAATGTCACCCTCTTTTGGAGGATCAGGTCCTACTCATTGATGTCGGTCAGCTTAACCTGATAAGCAGTCTTGGCGGATAATATGTGACCTGTGTTTCAGAATCTCTTCTCGGTGGATGAGTGCCAGAAATTCATCCGGTTTATCGAAGGCCTCCCCCTGGAGCTCACCCCACCCAAGAAAAGGGGAGAGGCTGATCGGCTGAACCGTGAGTCCACCCATGCAACTCCCCTCGTCCACGAAGCCTTGATCCCATCGTATCCAGACCGATTCTCTATAAATTCGGTGCCATTCGCGCAACGTTTGTTTACCGTTCTCGCTCCTCACCTACCCGAGTTTCTGTACCCGACCTCTGCAAGGCGACAAGCTGATCTTCGCCGACCTCCCCACTCACTGAACTCCAACATCCGACTGTACAAATATACGCCTTCCCAACACTTTGGTCCCCATTATGATGATTCGGTTCGGGATACCGAGACGGGAGCCAAGTCCGAATGGACCCTGCTAATCTATCTCTCTGGTGTTGAAGATGGAGTACTGGGCGGAGAAGTATCAACCTTTTTTTCTGCCGTCCAATCCTTCCTGACAGTTTGACCTTGTCAGACGTTGTTTTACAAAGATCAGCGAGGGAAGCCACGCGAAGTTATCACTGCTCCTCTTACTCGAGGCACCGCCCTCCTTCATCGGTCAGTGCCTTTGTCAACCTCAAGTCCCGTCGCGGTGGTGTCTGATCGTTCTTTCCCCCGTCCTGGTAGCCATGGTCAGGAATGTATGCTTCACGAGGGGTCGATGGTTCAGAGTGGCATCAAGTACGTTCTGCGATCTGACCTCATGTTCATGAACTAGCTTTGGTCTGCCCAATGTATGATGATCATATCCAATCCACTCGATGACATACTATCTACCCCCTTTTTTCTTCTTCCTCGCCGGCATACCCTGCTGCACCACATCGTCATCTCTATCGCGGTCATCTCGTCCCCCTGTCGCATCCGATCCCCGTTTCCTCCCATGGCCTCCCTTCCCATTAGCATTCTGGTCCTTTAACTCGTTTATAGCAAGTCTACTGGCCTCGTCCACTCGTTCCCTAAGCAACGCCACCTCCTCCTTATCCGTAGGCCAAAGCTCCATCTTCTTTTCCAATACTGTTTCGATACGTTGTAAGAGTTCGACATCGTATTGACTGACGAGAGTTATTGATTTTCCGGAACGGCCTGCTCGTGCTGTTCGACCTACTCGATGAATATAGTCTTTGGAGTGGTGAGGGATGTCGAAGTTAATGACAATGTCTACGGACGGAATGTCCAAGCCACTGAGATTGATGATTTAATTCGTGTGTCGGGCGATGATCTGGGGGGGACGTACCGACTGGCAACATCCGTCGCAACCAGAATTTTACGACCTCCACTTTTGAACTTCCCTAGTGCACCCAACCGAGCACTCTGACTGAGTTGGCCATGTAATGGTACTGCAGCGAACCCAAGAGTTCGAAGAATGATAGATATTCTACAAGCCGAAGATAGGTCAGCTTGGAGGTCGAGGCAAGTAATATGGGACAGACCGCATCGCATTTTGGACTGTTCCAGTGAAGATGATGATGGAATTTTGTACGAGAGAGTTGACTAGATAGACAAGATTGACGTCCTTATGGACCAATGGGATAAAGAGGTAGTACTGTAGCAGTGTGGATACAGTCGAGTACCTAAATGAATGATTCCCGTCAAACAAATGTCTTTCGCGAACGAAGCCAATCACGCACTTGGTTGACACCTCCACTCGGACGGGGTTTGAAAGACTCGCCCGCTGCAGTTTGGCTACCTTTGTGGTCATAGTGGCGGAGAAGAGATATGTGGTGCGCTCCTTGGGGATGACCTTTAGAATCTGGTCGATCGCGATCCCGAAATCCATGTCAAGAAGCCTGTCGGCTTCATCCAAAACCTACGACATGTAAAAGACCTAAATTTGGCAGGACGGGGTTGGGGTACTCACGAGATATTTCAGTGATCGCAAGCTGAATCCTTTTGTGTTTTCCAGATGGTCATTCAGACGTCCTGGGGTTGCGACAACTATATGTGGTTTCTTTGCGAGAGAAGTGGCCTGAGATATCATGTCTAGGCCTCCCACGAGGACAGTACACCGGACGCCCATAGCTGACCCCAAGGCTTCAAACTGCTGCGATATCTGGTAGGCCAGTTCGCGGGTGGGAGCAAGGACACAGGCAAAAAGACCCTTTGGCTCTTCCCATAGCTTCTGGAGGATTGGGAGTGCGAATGCAGCAGTTTTTCCAGATCCAGTAGATGCGACACCAATGATGTCCCGTCCTTCCAAGGCATGGGGGAGGACTTCAGCCTGGATTTCGGTTGGTGTCTTATAATTGAGGTGATCAACCGCTTCCAGGAGAGGGTCGATCAAGCCGAGCGATTTAAATGTCACAGTTGGTGCAGTCGAAGTGCTGGCATCTTCAGGAGACGGCATCTTGTAAGGGTCGATGTTTTTTCCAGCGCGAAACTCGTCCTCCATAAGGCAGCCACGTGGGGTTTCTCACCCGCGCCGAACCCTAACCTCCTGGCTTTTCAGCATCGCAAGTACATAGACCTATCGCGAATACGACATGGGCGAACCCATATCCAAAACAAATGTACTTCGACCACCCCTCGGCAATATCAGCACTTTCTCTGCCCCGTGAACTTGATAAGTCTCTGTCGTCGGAACAGCCGTCGAACCCATAGCCGAACCATCAGCAACAGGAAGGGGCGTTATTGCCACCTTGGGCAATGACAACTCCCCGTGATTCAGCGCAATGAGAGTCAAAGGGACTTCATAAGTTGCCCCGTCCTGTCAATCCCACAAATCAGGGGTTCCGTGAGTAGCCGCGGGATGGGTACGCACTGTAGCAATGAAATCCCCTCTTTTCCTGCCACTAACCAACCATACTTTGATCATCTCTTCAACATCAAATCTCATTCGATATGATCGCTTCTTTGCCTCCGAATTCGAGCCCCAGTGAAAGGACGTTGTCACTGTCATGACAGCAGATATAGGTTGACCTGCATACAGTGCGGGTAATCGATGCGAAGGCGACTCCTCAGTGGAGAAGGGGCTTGATAAGATCCTGATTTTCGCAGCAGCGATGATCTATAAAGAAGACCATCAACTTGGGAGCGAGAAGCTGAAAACGTGAGATTTACATCGACTCTCGGTACATCCAACGGGATCTTCAGATCACGCCAACCTTCAGTGATTTCAGGACGGTTGCTGCTGAGGGCCTGGTAGGGTCAGTCGTGAGTTGGAATGTTGAAGAAAAGGCGAGATCTCATCACCTCTTTCACTTTCAACAGCATGGACTTGAGGTCATCGTCTAGCTCCTCGATTGGTGGAATATTCAGTTCCCCAGTTGCAATATAAAGCTCCACCCATGAACCGTTCTTCTCCAGTCCTTCTAGCAGCCGATTTATGATCACCTCTCTATTTCCTGGCGACGTTGTAGAACGTGGCACAATGTTGTTGACAACAGCACTGATGAGGGCTTCCACCTCTGCGAGTCATTCAATACGTGGTTTTGATGCAAGAAATAACAAGTTACACACCGTCGCGTAGCATCCGATATGTTATCGTGAAAGTCAACGACTCTCGTGCTATCATGGAAATGAGATGATCTTCCGTGAATAGATGGGGGCGGAGATATACCTTGACCCATAGGTGAGTTGAGCTGGAATAGGACATTGGCAGGCTGTGTCGGAGTCACGGTCTGGTGGAAAGGCATGAAAATATGTTGGAAACAGGTCAGGGATTCAAAACAATGAGCGTACCGTCACTCCCTGCCTCGCTGATGAGCAATCCGATATCTGCAAATCGTCCGCTCCTGGTTCTCGAACCTCCAGTCGGGTCGACCGGATGCGGACGAATTGGTGGGAAGTAGAGGAGATTGTAAACTTTGAGAACAATCTACGAACCGACTGGTGTGAAACATGAGTATATGCGGAGGGGTCAGATCTTACCTAGTTCCTCGGAAGAAGTCCTGTACATTGACTGAAACAGGTAGGGAAGTAGTCACGGTCCTAGAAAGTCTCAGCGAGCGAACCGTGGATGGCTCGGATGCAGTTAGGTATTCAGCATCCACATAAACGTGCTGGAACGAAGGCGGTCAGGAAGTTAAGGAGTCATAATTTCTCCAGACAATTACCAAGGAATGACCAGACGAGCTTGCGTGAGGGACGAGGAAAGATATTGTCGTCTCTGGCTCGATATTCATTAATGTGATAGAGTCGTCCCCTAGCTCCAAGGAGCGACCATCCTCCTCGCTCAGAAAGGCCTCACGACACTGAAAGTGTGTCCCTGAAGGAGAGGAAAGCTTGACAGTGGTTGTTGTTATATGGTTCCGCCCAGAGAATACAGTGACCAGAGCTTTCTCCGCGGTCCATAGTTCAGCTGGAGGAATAAGCAATCCATGAGAACCAGAATTGGGATTGACCTACTGCAGTATGGCTGAGCAAGTTGGACGTCAAACGCGGCATAATCTTTCGGTATATGAACAATGAAAGGGAGTTCCTGGTGAGTTTCATTGGACTTGTTTGCACTTGAAGGATGCCTTCTCCATTGAAGCACCAAGCGGGATATCCGTATTTCGGTAGAGTCCCATGCGTATGTCCCTTGAGAAGACATCTGTAGTGGTGTAAATCCGTTAACGACGACGAAAATGACTGGACGTACTGCACAGAACAACTTGACACGGTTGTTCCCAGCAATGAAAGATTTCACATCCGCCGTATATCTCAACTTCTCTGCGTCTCTCCCAGCCAGAACGAC